CAGCTATTACATATATTCTACATCCACATGGTCATTCCTTTGGAACTAACCTGTCATGTAGGGTATTCAAGGCTGCCAAAGAAGCAATTGAGATTCCCATGACAACGTTTGCCAGTTGAAAAACCTGTGAACAAATCCAACAATTAATAAGAAATTCAACACATTCCCATCTGTTGGTAAAAAATAATACAGTAGTTGGTAAATTATCAAGCAAATGCAAACATGGTGTCAAAACGATATGTATTACCCTGATTGATCCAAGGCGCCTCTCAAGCTGAAACAAAGAATTAAAGTGAAAGGGCAAATTAATACCCATGTAATAATTTGCGTTTCCAAACCAATAAAAAATTTACATTTTTCCTCAGTTGTTCAAAAGGTGGATAATGCCATCTAGAAGGTAAGGGTTAACAAAACTGAACTACCCAACAGATGGACATATATCCTGGGGGTATAGCATTTAATCCACCCTTCAAGCAACCAGGGCCAGAAAATTTACCTTTGGATATACCCATAACTGAAGAAGCAACATAGGTCCTGCTACACAAAGTAATGCAGTGCCTATCTGGTCAGTAGAAAAGCCAAGCCCACCTGCATAAGTAACCACATGACCAGGTCAGTGCAGAATCAACAATGCTGTGTAAAGGGTCTATTTGAATCCAAATAAGCTGACATTCAGTAGATTTATTCTTTTTCTTTTGGAAATCATTCCTTTTTGAGTAGGGGGGTGTGTGATTTCCAAGTGCACTCTCAATAAATTTCAAATAATGAACTTCAATTCTGTATGATTATCAGATGACTCTGGCACAAAATGAATGCTTGAATGGGGCTACTGATGCATCATGCTTGGACCATTACTCAAATTGTATACTTCATTTTTCCCACTTAGGAAAAAACAATCTCTGGAAGGCAAAATGTATTTTGCCATCCATAAGATTTAAGCCTTATTTATTAGAGCTAAAGGTACTTGCATACTTCATAAACAAAGGGATTTTATTTAAATTCAATATTGACAAAATTTCAAAATTTAATCCACACAAACTTACTTAATTGTACATATAAGAATAAAGATCAATCTTACCAAGTTCAGACCCTGTGGCAGCCCACAAAGAAAACAACTCATCATAACCAATGACAACAAATGAAAGTGCACAATACACACAAATGACAAGGGCTACAACACGATCCCTGAAAATAGAGAACAGGAAAATTAAAATTAAAACAACCCTATATGGGATTAAGCATCACCTAAACCCAGTATGTAAACTGCACACACCATGACCTAAAATTGACAAAAATGCACACAATTTAATTCCTTTCTTATAATTGCACAATCAATGCTGTATGATGGCAGAAAAAAGTATTCTGAAAATATCCTGAAACAACATGAATTTTCTGGAAATCGATATTACCTCAGTAAAACTGCAATATTACTGTCTCTGAAGAATTTACAACATCTGTGTCTTGGACAACAGCAACTCTTAAAACCACAACAGTTTATGTCATCTTCAATGTTTTCTTTGTGCACATCACCAATGAATATTTCTACTTCCTCTGTTTCTTCCAGACTATTTTTTTGGAGGCTGCCTTTTTCATCATCTCCATCAATTAAACTAATGGAGGCTGTGCTTTGCATGGCCAATTCACCAGTTTCTGAACTGCTTGATGAGTTCTCACCATCACTGAATCAGAAAAAAAAATTGACATTGAACTATCTGGTCTAATAATGGTGAAAATTTATTCATGACTTTCAACATACACTACCAACAAAATTGATAATTAATTTGTGCTATGTGACTCATGGGCTCTGAATAAAGCCTGAACATGCGCTCATTCCCGTATTCAGCAGCTGGTTATTTAGAGCCTACGTACATCATTTTACCACCAAAAAATTGAAAGATTACCTTTTAACAAGGGTCTCTGGCAGGTAGAAGTAAGCCAACACAATTGAAATCAAGAGTGCCGCACAGTTCAACAGGCAGGGTAGGAAAAATGGGAATCTATCAAAAAGTGAATCTGTAAAAAGAAACAGGTCAGGTTTAAACAGAATCTTCTTAAATAAAAGTTTATTGTTGTCTGCATTTAATATGTTTCAGAAGCTGATTCATGGCCACAAAACTGGGTATAGATGCATGAGGCCCAGACTTAAACATACAGGATGACTTTCCAGATACTGTGGAATTAACTTTTGACAAACTCACACTAATTTTGTTACATGCTGTTTTTGCAAAGTGACAAAACTTGACTATGTAAGAAAGATTCTGAGAGGAAATTCTCAGAAAACAAAAACAAAAACAAAAACAAAAAAACAGGAAATAAATTTTTAATAGCTGTTTTTATTTGCTAGCTGGGCACTAACAAACCTTGTGTAAAAACAGTGGGATATTTCAGTGATGGTTCTGCAAGATATCCTGCAAATAGAGAATAAATATATTTAAATTCATTAAATTAATTGAACATGAAAAATAGCAAATGACATTTACAATTGTTACAATTAAAAGTTCATTATAAGGGCTATTCCATTGTAAGGGAATAAGGGCTATTCCACTTTAGCACCTTAATGAAGTGCATGAACAAATTTGACTGTCTCATCTATGTTGAGATGTTTTTTATTCACAAGCTAAGACCTGCTCTCAATGTACAGTCTGATTCAATTCGTGCTAAGGTTTTCAATTAGCCTTTTACTAGCACTTTCTTTGTAGTTTTATCATTTGTTTACACCTGCAAAAGTTTTTTATATTTCTTACGTGTATATATACATATATTTACCGTATTTCATTCCATTCACTTGACAATGACGGAAGCACGGTCGAAACGTCGTGTTTTACCGTTAATTTTTATCAAACAAATCAATAACTGAAGGGGTGCATGGAAAAACCCCACAGAGATTTCTAATAGAATGCAAGATTCTCCTTTCAAAAAGTCTTGTACTCTCTTGTGAAACACATGAAGATGATGTTGAACATTCAAGGTGACTTATTCCATACATCTCTTCAATTGTATGAATTATAAAAATTAAGAATATCAACCAAGAAGTGACATTTTTCTAATTCCTGTCAGTGCTGTGTTGTTTTGCATTCTAAATACCTTTATACCTCTGCTAAAACTCTATTACATTGTTTTGACTGGTTATTAAGTCCATCAGTACATAATACATTTCCTTACCCCCTATAGCTGGACCAATGATGAGTCCCACATTCCATGATGTCAGTAAGACTGACATTGCCAATGCCTTACGAAATAAATCAGGCAAAAAATGAGTGAATAATTCAATAATANAGAGCCATTCCGTGTTTTTAGGGTTTGGGGTCATTTTCTGCCGTTCTGTGTTTTAGGATTTGGGGTCATTTTCCGCCGTTCCGTGTTTTAGGATTTGGGGTCATTTTCCGCCATTCCACTGTTCTGGCTTTTAGGGTGGCCCCTTGGAAGTAAAGGTTCCCAAATCAATCAGCACCAAAGGGTGCATACAATCCTGTATGCTAAAACATATCAAAGGCTGGTGTCTAATTCCAATCATTAACCATTTTAAACACCAGAATGTTAAAGCAGGGGCATAAGAGTACAGTGGGTTTTTTTTTTGGGGGGGGGCAGTAACAGTGAAAAGTTGCTCCCTAAAATTGTTCTAAAATGCTCCAAATGACACTATCAGAACTACTGAGGTGTACAAAATTTTCTAGGAGACAAGAATACCCCTCTGACTAATTTTTTTCATAGATGACAGTCAGTGCAACCTTTGGGCTCCTTTACTTTAAAATTTGTTCCTAATTGGCCATCTGCTGTCCAGGATATTAGCACTTAAATCATAAAACTCCACCTCAATGCACACAACATCGGCTAGCTAGTGAGATGTTAAAACTACAGAATAACAAATAAATCCACCTGCCTTATGTGTTAATGTTTTCACTTCACAAAACAAGCACACACACAGTCATAACAAACCTGATTAGTATTATCACTGGCTTCTGAAGCAATTGTTTTGCATGTCCCTACAATTCCTGAATTAAATAAAAAAAAAAGATCACTTCAGTTGGAAAAATCTATCTACATTCAGCATTCTTCAACAGACTAGCCTATCCAAGCCAAAATATTTTCCACCTAATCTCTGCCCTTTAATAAGTTCTTCAAATTCCTTCCTTTTTCATATCAGTTTCCTGCTCCTTTCCCTTGGCTGCCAGAAAAAAAAAACTTGGGGTAGCTTCAGATAAATTAAATCTACAAATGGGACTTTCCTATACTATTAGGTACATCATTTTGAATCAGTAAAAATGTCAAAAAGATTACAAAGCCTTGTTAATTAGTAATGGCACTAACATGATCATCACCATTGCATGAGCACTAATATCATACAGTAACCACACATACCTGCAGAAAGTCCCACAAATAGTCTGGTAACAATGGCCATGTACAGAGAGACAGATAGACCAAAGCCAACCATGCCAACCAATGTCATTGTAAGGCAGATCATTATCACAGGCCTTCTACCAAATCTATCTGTCATTAATCCCCAGAAATAACTGAAAGGAGTGAGTAAATTTTTGTTACCAATGTTCGCTGGTCCCGTGTTTCTGAGCCTTCTATGTCATCACTATCAGGTGACTTCAAATGAGGGTACATTGAACTAATTCAGTTACCTTACAGGTGAAGTTTTCTTAATTATTAATTCTGTTTAGTATGTGATCTTTATGGAGATACATGACCCCCATGATACAAATTTACTGGAAACCTTCTAATAGTTATAATAAGTATATGTACAGAAGAATGTTTTTACAATAACCATGGAAATTCTAGATAATCGAGTGAATCTTCAACAAGGGATAATTAAAGATCTCTCTGTTAAATTGTTAGCAAAATGGTGTTAACTTGTGAGTATCGTTACAGGCTTGTAGCATGCAAATTATAAAGAAAATCTTATGACTAGATCTTCTACAAATAAACAAAACCGATTTTACAGGCCTGTTTATATTTATTCATGTTGCCATAGCAATGGCACATGCGTCAGCTTAACTATCAAAACACCAAAGTTTGTGCTGTTAACTTACTGCCAGTTTTGGCGACTGAAAGATCAAGGGTTTTAGAGAAGATGGCAAAAGAAACGCAGGTATCAAAAACTGTGTTCAGCCACCTTAATGATTTTGATGCTGTTACTGACTGTGTTACAAAGCTGCTGTTGTTGGATGTTGTCTGACAGAAATGAATGTGAAATTGGGTATGTGTAAGGACTGATATATGAACTATGACGAAGAAATTGAAAGAAGAAAATGAACTTGAGGATGTAATAAAATGATCACGTAAGCATAAATCATAGCTGCTTTGTAGATCTGTTTTACAGGGGATCGCACTGATAAATATATGGATGTGGAAGGAACTTCTTAAGACCTCTTTTGATAATGATGTGTTTTATCAGGGTCTTTTGAAATGGTGAGTATTCAGAAAAGTCAGGCCTTATCCTTCTTGATAAGGAGATGGTGTCTAAAATGCAACAGGAATCAAACTCTTTTGAGGTGGTTAGGTGTGTTTCAAATGTGGGTGATTTGTGTTGATTAGATGTGAGTCAGGTAAATGACTGTGGGTTGTTTTATTGTAATGTGCCATCTACTATTCCATTCATGTACTATTTATTTATGTTTATCTGCTCTCTGTTTTAGGATCATGTTTCCATGGAGTCATTACTGAATTCCGTGACACCAGGAGATGTGGAATTGACTTTACCTTATTCAGAGACTTTGAATGATTTGATCAACTACAACTCAGAACTTACTAATAGTCCTACCTTGTCATCTCCAAGCCCTAGTCAAGGGACAACTCATTTGGATATCAGCCACAAGTTACCAACTAAGCTCTCTAAAAATCCAAGTACTTATGAAAAAGAACTTCGCACCCTGGTTTTGAATCTTTATTCAGATAAGAATATAACTATCGTGGAACCTATCTCATCAGATGACATGCTTACTTCAGCACAGGATTCCATGGTGCAAGGACCACAAACTAAAGGGGCTCCATGTGGGGTACATCAGAAAGCAAGTGTCCCTCAGCCCCTTGATATGATGCATGTGACGATGCCTCAACAAGACCTTTTAGAATCTGGGTCACTTGGACATTATTCTCTGGATAATGGTAGGGGGGAATTTGAAGAGATTGACACACAGAATCCTCAAAAGCTCCAAGGTTATTTGGTCAACTTTCAGAGAAGCAAGAAAGGTACAGTTGATTGAGTTCAAAATTATTCCTCCTGAGCAAGTGCTCTCTTTGATTAAGCTTTGTTGAAGTTCTTAATTATTAAGACTTTAGCAAGTGTTCAAGGAATGATTTAGTTACTTGGCACAAAAGTATGGTTGCAAGCAGTAGAAGCATTTGACTTTGAACTCTGTTGCTGACTGGGTTGTCACGGCAGCTGTGAGTGTCATCTAGGACAGTTCTTGTCAGGACTTCCTTCATCTGGATCAGTAAACTTAACACAACTGACTATTACTCTGGATCTCAAATCATTGACTACAAGAGCTAAATGAGAAACAACTTTATGTCTGCTTTACGTATGTGTCAATCCAGTTGTAGGTATATCCATACCTTACTTGCTTTGCCACTTGCCTTTGAACTGAACAAAATAACTGTTTTATAGGTACCCGTGCTTTGTTGTGTCTCCTGAACAAATGTATTTCAAATCGAATGGTACTTTAACACAAGTTATGTTTCACATATTACCTGACACCAAATATTGCTGGACTTTGATTAACCGTAAACAAAATGAAAAACAGTTGTAGTTGCTCACTTTATTCAGAAATTTGAGAAGCTGTTAATCTTCAATTAAAATTGCTATAGACCTTGTAGCCCTAACATTTCTTTAACTGGCCACTTTTTTTTTTTCTTGCATCACAGAATTGTCATGCCGCCATATCAGCCTCTCCTCAGATCATGTGAATCAACCATTTGATGACTATGGAGTACATCTCGAATTTGCTGAAACAACTGAAACTGATATCTCCGAAGTAGATGGTGGAGAAACCGTTACGGATGGCAAGAGGGAACTAGCTGTGAATAGTCACAAGTTTTCTGACATCATGACAGAGAGTCGAGGTCCACCCTTATCTGTTAAGGAGGAAGGTGTTGAAAGCGAAGGAAATGTTTATCTTGTTCCAGGTATTGATTTTAAGTCCTTTGGGAAGCATTGGAGTGATTCTGTCACTAAAGGGCTGAAATTTGAGGAGACCACTTTAAATGGCGTTGACGTAAATAAAAGTGGCTTAGATCATGAAGAAAGTGCGGATCTTGAAACTACTGGAGACGAGGTAAAAGCGAGTTCGCTGGCTGGAAAAGATTATGGCGAATTTGCTCTTCAACGTGCTAGTTTGGAAGGAAAGCTGCAATCTTTACAGGAAGAATTGGCTAACGTTCTTGAAGACAGGAAGTCACTGCAGATCAGATTGCAAGCGGTAGAAACGCGACTGCGTAAGGAGGTGCACAAAGTGCGGGAAACTAACCCAGTTGCTGTGTCGTTAGTTGAGGAGCTGAAACGAAACAAGCACGAGTTGGAAAGTCAGCTAGTCAAACTGCAGAGCGCGTATGAAGAAAAACATGGCGGTCAAAATGAGGCACTGGAGCAGTTGAAGAGATCCTATGTTACCATTCAAAATCTTAAACAGAAGTTGTCTTTAGTAGAGGGAGAAATTAATCAGCGTGAGGAAATGGTGGGTTCACTTCAAATTGAAATGGAAAATCTAAAGAAACTGCTTGAAAAAGCCAAAGAGAAGAATGATAAATTCAAGAAAGAGAATATGGATTTGAATGCAGAGATAGCGAGGCTTGTGGATGTCAAGGAATGGCTTCAAAAACAGTTGGGTTTCGCTCAAGAAGCCCGTACGAAGTTACAACTTGAAGTTAGCGAATCTGAAACAATAGTTGCAGCCAAAAACCAGCTTATAGAACAGTTGAGATGCGAAGGTGCGAGATCAAGTCGGCAGCTCACTGAATTGCAACAGAGTTCACTCTTGGAGAAAGCGCAGATTCTGAAGCACATGGAGCAAGTAGAAGAAGACATTACTCGACAAAACTTCGCTTTTAAGGAGGCAGAAATTGAAAAACAAAAAATGCAAAACGTTTTGGAAGCAAAGGTTGATTCGCTTGTGAATGAAAACAAGAAACTTCTCGAGTTGATGAGCTCCGCTGTGGAGATTGAGAAGGAACTTGATGTAGCGAAACAAGATCTAGTTTCAAAACAAGCTTTACTTGAAACTATAATCAAAGAAAAAGAGAAAATCAGGGAACAACTGAAGCTTGCACGTGATTCCACCGAGGAGTACAAGCAAAATCTTCACGAGTTGGAGTCAAAGTTTACCGAAACTAAACAAGAATTGAAAGTCGCTCAAGACGATATTGGAGAAAAACAAAGCTTTATTGAAAAGCTGCAGGAAGAAAAAAGAATTTTAAAAGAAAATCTAGAAGTTGCCAATAAAGAACGAGAAGCTTGTGACAATGCTATTCACACATTGAAGTTAGATCTCGAGAAGGTTGATCGCCGCTTTAAACTGATGAAAAGAGAACTCACGTCCAAAACCAGTCAGCTTGAAGAAACAACGCTACAGAAAGATGTGTTCATGGGCGAGCTGTGCACACTGAGGGAGGGTTTGGAAAATCAGGTTGCTGTGGCTTATGCGTTGAAGGAAGAATTGGCGCAGAAAGACAAGCTACTTCAGCATTTTCAGGGGGTGAAAGACGCATTGGAAAAAGAGATTATTAGTTTGACCCAAAAGTTAGAATATTCACAAGGAGAGATTACGCAAGTGGACAAGGAGAAGGGGGAGATTCAGAAACAACTTGAGACGGCAAAAAGGTAAAAAGTATTATTCCTTATCAATACCTGACATCCGGTTTAGACAGTAGGGTCCGATTTTATGCAATAGTGTCCGATTTAGACTCTAGTGACCGAGGTTAGACAGTAGTGTTCGATTTTAGACACGAGTGTCCGATTTTAGACGCTATAGTCTGTACATTGCTACAGCTACTGAACCGAATTTAGCACAGTTTTAAAGACTAAAACTTTTAATAGGATTATCCACCCAGTGTTCCTGATAGGAAGTCTTTGTGTCTGTGTAGAGGGGGTCAATTGATTTAGGGAGTGTTATTGTGAACCGTACATTGATTTTCCTTAGCAGTCAGGGAAACGCCCCAAGAGCTTACAGGCGTATTATAATACTTATTTTTGTGGATACATATGCGGTCCAAATGTCTTTTGTTGATCATGTTCTTTTTATTCCTTCATCTTTCAACAGGGACAATGTGCTTCTGGAAGAAAAGTTCCACAAATCCCAGCTGGAACGAGCCAGACTGGAAGGCGAAGTTGAAACGACACGTCAGTCAGACCAGCTTGAGAAAGATGCCTTGAAAAGTCAGAATGCATCGCTAAGAGACGAAATCAGGACACAGAAAACACAGCTCCAGGCAGATGTTATGAAAGAGCACGATAAAGTAATAAATCTTGAACAAGAACTGAAATACCTGACTGATGAGATTATTAGAAAAGAAGGTAAATATAACAAAGACCTACAGGCCTTTGAAGAAAAACTACAAGAAATGAAGAAAAATGAGAAATTGGCTGAAAAAGAATTGAAAAAGCTTCACGATGTAACTGAAGAAAGGGTAGATAAGCTGAGGAAAAGTTATGAAGCAGAATTGGAAAATGGCAAAAGCGATCTTGTGACTCTCCAACAGGAAAAAAGTAAAATGGCTCAAGAATTTGAATTATTTCAGAAGAAAGTCACGAATGAGCTTGGAATTAAAGACAGAGATATGAGACAGATGGAAAAAGAACTTTCAGTCTTGAAGAAGACACTCAAAGGAAAGAACTCAGAGTTAGAGAAAACACAATTCTGTGCCATAGAACTTGAACGAGAGAAGGGTCGTCTGGCTGGAGTTTTAGCAAGTCAGAAAACCTTGCGAGAACATGTCGTTAAAATTGAAAGTGAAATAGCAGCTCGGGAATCAGCCTTGCTCGAGGCGGCTAACGAGCTAGACAGAGTAAAAAAGGACAAAGATTTACAAACAAGGACGGCAAGTGAAAAAATACAAAACCTGGAGGTTCAGCTGAAGACCATAAGAGAAGAAAAGAACAACCTGCGGGACACTTTCAGAAAAGAAAGGCAGGAAAATATTGTTTTGAGAAGTGAAGTTGAGGAAAGTTCAAATGGCATCGCAGAGTTGATGAAGAAACTGAGCGTGGCTGAAACGGAAATTAAACAGCTGCAAGAGAAGCTTAACAATGGAAGTAGTGAAGCCAAGAGATATCGATCTGCTCTGGAGGGGTTGAAGGAAAGCTTTGCAGAAGAACAAACTGAACGCGAGAGTTTACAAAAGAGATTGGAGGCATTGTTGGAACAAGAGACAGCCAAGGATAGGATAGCAGAGAGCTTGGAATGGGAAGTTGGTAGGCGAACAAAAGAGGTGGACTACCTTAAAGAGCAGATGCGAGTCATGGAGGAGAGGCAACAGTTAGAGATGGAGAACTTGAAAACTGCCCTACAAGTATCTAGAAGCGAAACAACATCGCTGCGTTCTGAGTTATCAGAGGCAAGGAAAGCCAAATGTACCTACCAAACGAAAACATTTGAATTGAAAGATTCCCTTCTCTCCGTGAGACGAGCCGCAGAGTCGTTAAAACAGCAATTATTCTTGAAGCGCCAGGAGATGGAATCCTTGATAAAGGATGTTTTGGCTTCAAGGAGTCTTCCACAACTGCAAGAGGATATTACAAAGAAAAGGGAAACAATGCTTGGAAGTGAGAAAACGGAAGAGGACGTGGGTGCTGCTAGCAATATGTCCATTGCCGTTAACATGAGGTAAAGCAATGACTTTCCCTGAAATTAATTCTTTCAGTGTTTGTTTCGATTTTGGTTTTGTTTTTCTTCAGCTTTGCTTGTTTAAAGCACGATCTATTTAGTTTTGACATAGTTAATCGATTAACTATGGTTTTGACGAAGAAGAGTTGTTCGATTTCAAAAATAGAGTAAATTTCGAAGGATACTTGGTTACTTGAAACTCTCGTTATCTCGTTTTTCAGGCCGATTTCCAGTCTACAAGAATGCATGTCTTCACTGAGGTAGGTAAACAGAGCTTCATATCAAAACCTTTCAACCGTGATTACGTTGGCAAATTTCTTTCAACTTTTCAAAAGTATTCATGATGAATTTTCCAGGAAAAACGGCGAAACCAACAAGTGAACGACCTCGAAACAGGCTGATAGAGTTGTTGCAAGAAACGCGTAATATTATGAGAAAAAATTACCATGCGTTTACTTCTATATTTTCCAACACTTTGTATTTCTCAGGTCACAAATCAGCAACCTGCAGAAACAAATGAACGATCACACAGACTCTGTGCAAACGGCCACTACGACTTGGAGGTAAATTGCAACGCATAAAGTTGTTTGTTTGAGATTTGCTCTTTTTCCTGGCTTAGTACAACAAATTGCCTCCTCCTCTTCCGCATTTGTTCCTCTTGGGTAAAGTTCTCTCTTTCTCGTTAGTTTTCCTCGCTGTTGGAAGAATGCACGAAGGATCTCAACGTAAACTATCACGTTCTACTCTGGTTTGACCGGCTTCACATCGAACCTTAAGAAGCTTCTCTATTACGTTTTAAAACTGCAAACACTTGTCGAATTCGTTTTGCCGCCCAAACAAAGTTTTCATGAAAATTGTCGGTTGAATTGCTGACCGAAACAAGATGGCGGACAGCAGTCGCTAACACGAAATTGCAATCTTGAACGCGGCGATTTCCGGCAAAAAATGCGAAAATCATTTTAAAGATGTTGGTGTAATATCAAACAAAGTAAAAAATTAAATATGATAAAAATAACAAAAACAGCATATATTTATTGAAAGTCGAAAGAGGAACGCTTTCCATACAGCAATATTCAAGCGATAAGCAATAATGCCGAACGAAATCTTGCACCGGTTTGAATTAAACCGTAATCAATGATCAACAACAAAATAAATTTAAGTTCCTTGAGAGTGATATTTACATTTCTCTTGATAATAAAATGAGACAACTAACCGTTTAAGGACTTGCTTTGATACAATATTTTAAAGACAGTTCGTAACGACCTTCCACGTGCAACATTGTCGACAGCAGCTTTTAATTTCCCCGCCAAAAAATATGCTGTACATTGCTCATGCGCTTTCTCGGGCCCAGAACCTCCGTTTCTTTGGTGGATATGAGGTGATGGTTGGAAGTAAAGTTAAGTAGCGTGAAGTGACGTTAGTGAAGAGCATCTATATCTAATTAATCGAATTCAGATATGCGGATATACGTTGCTGTGGTACGTGACTTCGTTCTAGTCATGTTTTGAAACAGAACTCAAGTCTGGCGGCATTCGAGGTCGTAAACTCCCCTTCAAATTCAGACTAGACAAACTGTTAATATATGTCCTTTTTTTTTTTTAGGTCGTTTAAGGAAAATGTTCATCAACTTCAAGCAAGTCGCAATACACAAAGCAGCCAACAGCTGACAGCCGAGAAAGACACTTAAACTCTCTTCAACAAATTTGTGACTTAGGTTAATCGGTAGCGAATTGGAACAAATATGGGGAAAAAAAACTATAATCTAAAGGGTGCTCTCAGAGGTGCTCTTCAAAAAACGTGTGCAGTGGATTCACAATTGTTGAAACCAGACTGAAAAAATGTTTGCGTAGCATGTTTGTACAATATTCTTTGATGAAAGGTGACTATTGTTTCGATGCTTTTCAACATATTCTACAAGCCTTACCGATCGTATTTGTAATTACAGCAAGCAAACTTAAATGCGAAAAAGGCACTTAAGTAAGTTGGACGGTTAGCTGGTGTTTGAGTGAAAAACAACTCCATTCTTTATCAGATAGACAAGTAAAAGGCATTATTTCATTTTAAGTCAAATTTATTTTTATATTTGATCTCTGCAAAAACAACATGGATGTGTTTATTTTCTGTTTGTAAAAATAAATATTATGAAATTATTTTTTGCCGTCTTAGTCAACAATTGAATAACAGATAAATAGTGATAAATAAAAATGAGTTTCTACACATTATGTCAGTATTTCAATTATTCTTGACTTTCAGGTTAAAGTGCAAATTTAAAAGTACTGGGACGAGCTCAGTAGTGACTAGTTTAGAACATTGTAAATCTTTGCTTCACGCCTGGGTACTAGGCTACTTCAAAGTCTTACCGTCACGAGAACAACTGGTCTCTAGGATCACTCTTCTTACCGCCCCTTCTCTTTTGCCCCGGGCCTAGGGCGCGGGAAGAAGAGGAAGCCGAGAAACGAGGTTGTCACCAAAATAACTGCAGTTGTTCATTTTATTTCGGAGGAATTTAGAAGAAAAACTGATTAAAGCGTTCAACATTGAAAAATGTAAAAAGCTTCACACTTTCAACGCTATCTCCAATACCTAGTGTTCATTGCGTTTTTTACTTTCTTAGAAATCACTTCCTGGACAGTCCTTAATTAAGCCTATCCACAGCGGGTTGTGTTATATTGGCCGCATTACGACTTTCAAAACGAAGAAGAGTGTCCAGTAACTCGTCCCCAGTCCTTAACCCGCCTTGTTCAAGGGTTATGTTGAGATATCGCTGGCGCAGCAAGTGGGCAGCGGCCTTGGGTTGCCTTTGACGTGTCAGGATTCCTTTCTTGTTGCCTCCCACACGGGTCGTACCTTATGGGAAGAATAAATTGATGCCATAGTGAAAACAAACCGTGACCAGTTGAGGGCGTAACTGAGATACATGTGGCCCCTTTCCTACTTAGAAAAGCAAAACTGACGAGACGCATTGATAAAACAACCTGGCACACTCCCTAATGTCACTAAAACGCTATTGAAACGTTGTCCCCCTCCCCTTCTCTCCCTCCCCAATTCTCTCTCATCATGTCTACATCACTGACTGCGAACTCAGTGACTTGGTCTTTCTCAGTGAGTCTAGATGGGACAGGTTGAAGGGATTCCTAGAGCCCCCGACACTAAATTAGCTTCCCGCCTCCCAGTTAGCTCAATGGATAGAGCGCTGGACTGTTGTGTGGGAGGTCGAGGGTTCAAGCCCCGGCCGGACCAACATTCAAGGTCTTAAAATAATTGAGAAGAATATGCTTCCTCTCTATAACATCAAGAAATGGTTAGATATTCTAGTCTTCTCGGATAGGGACGAATAAATGGAGGTCCCGTCTCCTGC